CATACCTAGCCTAAAGACCGTGTGTTGGCATAGGATCCAACTACCCTCATGAAGGGGACAGAAATGAGTTCTTATCTCAGTCCCAAATATACCTGGGAAAGCTGATGCTAGTTTTCTTTCTGTCCCTTGCTAAATGAAATAGAGGAAGCAGGAGACTGGGTCATCTTACAAATTTATGATTAGGTGTATGAAATTCAGGCAGCACAGCTTTAGTGTGGAGGGAAGAATATGTACTTATAAGTCATTAGTGTACATCAAACGGGTAGGACGCTTAGCATCGCAGGAGAAGCTTAATATATGTTACTTCCTTTCAGAACATCTAATTTACTTTGTGATGCCTTGTTTTATATACTTCCTTTAGGACTTCCTTGAAAAGAATGATTATTTGCTGGGGTTTTTTATGTGCTAATTTGCAAAGAAAATTTGTGTTTGCTGTCAAGTCCATAGAGTTAGAACTTACCTATTCACATCCATGTTTTCTGCTTAATTTTAGAGGAAATTAGGTTCTATATTAAAGGAATCCTAAGGAAATCTAGAGAATATTATTTTATTTGGCTTGTGTATAGAAAGTCCTATATATTCTGGTAGGTCTTGGGTTTCTCTTCTCCCTTGTGTTATAGTAATCTCCAAAATGATATTTTAAGAATTTGGCTGATGTATTTGCAGAGAAGACAGAGAGGACAGTAAATGTGAAGGCAATCATTTATTCAGTTATTAAGTCATAAATTCACTCATTTGTTTAGTGAGAATGTATTGAACTGTTCTTCAGGATCAAGCATTATACTTAGACTGTAGATTTGGAGGACAAGTCAGAAACACAGAAAGATCTGCAATTAGTTCATCCCAGAATTGCTGACAAAGATTTCAAAGAAAGTATCATTTGACTTGGGCCTTACTTCTCTACATAGGGATACACCATAAAGAAAGGTATAATATAGGCAATTATAAGCAAAGGAATACTTTTTATTTGAGACAAGGTCTTGCTCTGTATTATGGGCTGACCTTGAACTCACTATGTAGTGCAGGTGGCCTGAAACTCACAGCAATCCTCCTGCCTCAGACTCCTGAATACTGGGATTACAGGCATGCCATACCACACCCAGTGGAATACACTTTAAAAGGCAATGAAGTTTGTGAGAACATCATATATATATGGTATGATTCAAAATTTTACATGAAGAGATCACAATGTACGTATATTGGTGTGGCTGAAATAATTTACTTACAAAGATTTTCACTTATCCAATTTATCAACAGTTTTGACTATCTCATCTGTGTGAGGTTCTGGGGTACCAAGGGTGAACAACATATGGTCCCTGCCTCAGAGATAGCCCAGTAACTGTAGAGAAATCCGTATATTTAAATTGATGCAGTGAGGTAGGAACTAAAACAAGTACAGAAAAAGTTTTTGAGAATCTGATGAATACATCTACACACACATGGTATGTGTCTTTGTGCTCACACACACACCTCTGCACATATAACTAAATCTGACAATAAGAAATATGCTCCTTCCCCATAGAAGTGGGTGTCCTCTTCCATTATTAGGATGTAAAATGGCTTGTTCTAAGAAGTAGGTGTGCTTTTATTCTCTGTATCCTCAAAGCACACATGTTAGAACTTGGAAACTTCCTGGGTCCCTGGAAGGATCAAGTGTTAGACCCTTTCCTTTCTGTGGTCTTTTGGGATGTAATGGGCATCTTACTTCTCTTCAAAAGGATTCTTAACACTACCTTCATTTTGATCATATTGTTGGGGTAATAGGAATAGCTTCAGAGGCTTGCTGTGATGATTAAGGGCATTGATACTTTATAAAGTACTTAAAATGTCCTGGCATATGGTCAGTACTGTGTACACACATAGCAGATAGTACTATAATAGTTACCATTGTTTTGGTTATGGTTCCTCTAGATTGTCTCACACCATCTGTAGTAAGCAGAATCACAAGGCTGCTTTTTCTAACCCAAAATGAAGTGTAGGAAGTTTCTTAATGAAATTCCTTAAGCCTTCCCATGCTATACTCCTCTGAAAGGTAAGCCTCTACTCTCCCTTTAGCTAAATGTTGAATATTTTATACTGAGCTAAAATCTGCCTTCCTGTGATGTCCACCATTGGTCTCCTGGGGTGAGTCTTCCTTTCATTTCTTCAATGCTTTCTTAAAAAGATAAATATTGTTGGAGAGCTCTGTACCATCATCAGTACCTAAGCGGGAGGTGACACAGTTTCCCTCTTCAAGAAATCTACATGCTTTTTGAAGAAATATCCAAATATTCACTTACTTATGTTGCTCTTTGTTAAGCGACAAACTAAAGGATAAAATTCATTTCTTTTTTTCATTTGTCAAACTAGAGAAAAACTGATGAATAATAAGGGAAGGCTTTAGATAGAAGCAGTATATTAAAGAGTAGGTTAAAGAATAGGAAGTTATTTATATATTTGCTGTTCATTGATTAACTAGTTCATGTTTTGTTAACACATCTATGAGTAGTAGCTCACCAAGTAGGCAGAATGGTAGAGAAGGCAGACAAGGTGGAGGAAAGATCAAGTATAAAGAGTTATAGCATACAGTCGTGTTAGGGATCTGTGAGTAGTTGGATATGAATAAAGCACAGGTTCAAGGTTGGAGAGATGGGTGCTGATGCCCAAATCACAGGGAGATCACAGGAAGCTTTGTGACAAATTTAATGTGATGATAAAAAGCTGTTTAAAGGTTTTTTGCTAAAGAGTACTGGTGAGAGCCCCGTGCAAGCAGATTTTTCTGAAGTGGAAGAGAAGACTATCTGTTGAGTGCCATAAGGAAAAGAAAGGTGGCAAGGAGCTACAAGGATTATAAGCACAGATTTTGGAACCACATTGGCTTAGATCTAATACAGACTCTGCTTCTCACTAACCTTGCAACCTCAGGGATTTTTTTTTATCTATCTGATCTTTGATTTTTAAAAAATCAGTGTAAAGGAAATGTTAATAGTCTCTGGCTTATAAGATTATTGTGATAATGTATATAAAACTCTTCAAGCAATGCCTAAGACATACAGAGAACACAATAAGCAAAAACAAGACAAAAATTTAAGTCAATTCAAATGAGAGAGAAGTTCTTCTCCCTAATTCCAGACTGCTTTATCCAGTTTGGCTTTATTCTTTGCATTATTTTAAAGTCCTGATGAATATGGCCTACTGAGCCCTGTCAAATGGACTTCCGTTTATGTCCTCGGTGAAATCTGGAAAAGCCTAGGCCCTACACAGCATCTCAGCTTCCCTGAGTGATTACCCCAGGGACCATTAACTCCACTCTGTCTGCTAATCAGTTCTACCCACACACGAGAGGAGCTGGGATAGCTGCAGGACATAGACGGATTCTCCTGAAAGCATATAACCAAAACTCCCAGACTGAAGTTGTTGAACTTGGCTAGAAGAGGAAAAAACTAAGATGATTTAAGCATGGGCATTGAACAGATATAATGGTAAACGAAGAATTCTAAATAATGTCATGACTACAAGAACCTTATGTGTAGGAAGACATGCTCACTTTCAGCACCAGGAGCTTTGGACTCAGACCTAAGAGTCAGAGACTGAAGTGACAATCAGATACCACTGGCTAGATGCCAGCACTGCTTGGAAGCATTCAGAGCCTTAAAGATCGTCCAAACAATCCAAGGGCAAACACTTATGAAACAGTCAATAAGAAAGCAAGAACTGGGCTGGGGATTTAGCTCAGCGGCAAAAGCGCCTGCCTGGCAAGCGCAAGGTCGTGAGTTCGGTTCCCGGTACCGGAAAAAAAACAAAACAAAACAAACAAACAAAAAAAAAAGTAAGCAAGAATTTACAAAAATGCATTAGTTTAATAGGCCTAGAATTGTCAGTGCAGGATCATAGAAAAGGCACATTTTAAGATGAAATTTTAAAGAATTAATAGGATTTAAATATATAGAAATGAAGGAAAATCTCTTCAGAGGAACAGTGTGAAGAGTTTGGATATCAGAATGTGTGAGAGGGTATAGTCGCTCTGTGAAGTGGGCAGGTGCAAAGAAGTTATGGGAATTCTTTTTTTTTTTTTTTTTTTTTGGTTTTTCTCCGGTACCGGGAACCGAACTCACGACCTTGCGCTTGCCAGGCAGGCGCTTTGCCGCTGAGCTAAATCCCCAGCCCCTGAGTTATGGGAATTCTGATTGCAATGTTTCTCCTTTTCTCACGGGTGCCTCTCAGTGTTCCTTATGGCAAATAAGCATGCTGGCTTAACAAAGTTGCACACACAGCATATTTTACAGCAGTATTTACCAAGTGTTTCTGTGGAAAATTAGTCTCACAGGATATTCTGTAGAAAAATAATAGTAATAACTTAGAGAAATGTTCAATGTCCTTTTTCCTCCTTTGCATGTTACTTTATTTTAAAAGATCTGACTATCTTGTACGAAAATGAAGAAGAAAGGATGAAAATAGAAACCTGTTTGCCCTGTGAAAAGTAGTCTCACACAGTTATGTCTAACATCACATTCCTTAATTCCCTTCAAGGAAGCTTTAGAGCACATAACTATATTGCCTATTCATTTTTAATATTTTATTGACAATTTTCCTATTAGGATATGTAGCCTATGAAGACTGAGACCTTGCCTATCGTATTTACTACTGCACATCAAGACCTGATCATAATGCCTAGGAATATAACAAATGCTCAAAATTAGGGTAAACAAATGTTTAAAACTTTAGGTCATCTAAAGAGTTGAAAAATGGTAGAGCCAAATTTTGAACAAAGCGCATCATCCTTCTCCAACCTCCATGACTTAGAGTTCTTGATTTTTTTTTTTTTTTTTTTTCTGGTACTGGGAATCGAACTCACAGCCTTGCAGTTTCCAGGCAGCCACTGGGCCGCTGAGCTAAATCCCCAGCCCCCATAGAGTTCTTGATATTGTAACTTTGTTTCTAGGCCTTCATTCCTGTTTGTTATCTTTGGAAGCTTAAACTACTCTCTGATATGCTCAAATTTCTTTGTTTGTATCTTTCAGGCAAAGGCTGCCACCTAAAAATGTTTACTACTATCGATGCCCAGACCATAGGAAGAATTATGTGATGTCCTTTGCATTCTGTTTTGACCAAGAAGAAGATATTTACCAGTTTGCTTACTGCTACCCATACACATACACTCGCTTCCAGCATTACCTTGACAGCCTGCAAAAGAGAAACATGGATTACTTCTTTCGGGAGCAGCTGGGCCAGAGTGTGGTAAGGCCAGTGTTAAGTTTAGAAAGCTCATTTAGAAATAAGCAAACTTGGGCTAAAGATGTAGCAATAGGTGTTTACAGAATGCAAATAACGAATACTAGTCTTTTGTAGGTTATGTTCTACAACTTTTAATAGTTCAATTATATTAAATAATAATATAAATAATAATATGCAGTTATAATTAATGATTTTTTAAAAGTATTGTTTTTATAATGTGATTCATTGCTACTATGAGCACAAGGAAGTAACAGAATAAGATATAAAACAGATGGTGGCTGTTTTGAATGAAACTGATGTAGCTTGCTTATAAAATACAAAAGTTCTGATCAATCTTAAAAACCATGAAAGAAGTGAAAGAAAAAGACTCTTCTACTGGGTATTACAAAGGACATGAAGACACTACATGTCCTTACTATGAAGCCTCTGAGATGAGGAATAAATGTGTTTTTAATGAATCCAACTTACCTTTATGCAGGTTAGCATTCGGTGTGCAAATCTGATTATGTCGACCATGATGTGTTCTCTGTCGGCTTCTTCTCAGTTTCCAACCTGTTTTGCCTTCCTGAGGTTTAGTTTTCTGGGTCTGGAAATTGCATTTTTCCGTTCCTTATTAGTTTCCTGTTGTTGATATCATAAATTACTATGACCCTCGTGGCTTAAACTAACACAAATTTATTATCTTGTAATTCTGGAAGAAGAAGTTCAAAATAGGTTTTACTGATCTACTGTAATGGCATTAGAAGATCTACATTCCTTTTACAAACTCCAGGAGGTTACTCATTTTCCTGCCTTTTCTGCCTTCTAGAGGCTGCTTCTGTTCCTTGGTTTGTGGTTTCCTTCCACCTTAAAAGACATCAATGATTGGTTGAGTCTTTCTTATGCTGCATTACTCTGACACTTTTTTTTTGGCCTCTCTTTCACTTATAAAGATTCTTACAATTATGTTGAGTTCACAAATGTGCCCCAGGATAATCTCCCATTGCAAGGGCTTCGATTTAATCACACCTGGAAAGTATCGCTTATAATGTCACCACCTTATTTATAGTTCCCAGGGATTAGAACTTGGACATCTTGCAGGAATGTATGCACTATTTTGTCTATCATTTCCCTCTGTTCCTCTCTCTTTCCCCTGCCCAAACTAGAACTTGAAATTATTCTTTTCATTGAATTCAGAGTTTTTTCTCTTTATGTCAGAAATAGTTTGGTTGGTTGCTAATAAATAAGCAGATGAAAATTTAGTTTTACACTTCACTCTCTGAGAAATATATATTGCACCTCTGACATAGGCATATTTAGCAGTCTTAAAAGTTCCAAGGAAAGATACTGATGGATGCCTATTAGGGCTTCTGAAATGTGTTGGTGGAGAAATGGACTTTTTGTAGTGATTGTGGGTTACATACAGAAGACAGTTCCACTTCTATATAAACCTAGGATACCTCAAAAAAGAGACATGATGAGGGCATGTGTATGGCTCAGATACCTGACAGCCAAATCTAGTCATGATGATATTCTTATTGGCTAAGAAAGGACAATTCCTGGATCCAGGGCATTTGATATGGCTTGTGTCTGAAGGTACGAATGGAAGCACTTAACCTTTACTCCAGTTTTGAGGGAGGACAATTAGAAGTGGGAAGGCTAAAAATGTCAACGTGGAGATCTGAGGGAGACAAGGCAGGAAGCATGATTTTGAATTTATAGTGCTAAAATTATTAATCATTGTAGTCATAGCTAGTTATATTATAGTATGAGTTACATCATCCAAAATAGCATTTTATTTTGTTACTAATCAGCAGCCCTGCCATGACCCAGGCATCTCTTGATGATCACAGGGAAAAATGGTGATGGATGAAAAAAATAAGACAAGAGAAAATGGAGTTCTGTTTCTCTCTTGATGGGAGGAGAAGAAATGAATAACAACAGTAGGGGCATTTCTTTATACTTTTGACAAAGTTAGTATCTTGAGACACAGGGTTGTATAGGGACTAATAACTGGATGTTTTTCTAAGGACCAAAGTATTTCCAGCTTCAGCCACTCCCTACACAGCCCCTTCGAATCCTACCAAACAAAACTCCTTTGCACATGCATTAAAACCATGATATGACATTCAAAGATAAAAATAAGGGGATTTTTTTGTTTTTATTGTTTTAAGAGCTTTAATTAAGTATGTTATATACCATAACATTCATACATTGTTTATGATGTTTAACAAATTTGGAGTTGTACAACTATAACCACAGTCCAAGTATAGAACATTTTCATCATCAAAAATTTCCTTAGTAATCCCTACTTCTACTCCTAGGTCTCTACTGATCTGCCTCCTGGTAATATAAAATTTATTTTTCTAAATGTTTCTTTTAAGTGGAGTTATACAATGTGTAATCATTTTCTGTATCATATATTTCACTTAGCAATATATTTTTGAGATTTATCCTATTTTACCATGTGTCAGCAGCTCTTTCATTTTAATGCTGAATAGCAGTCCATTGAAAGTCTATATCACATTTTGTTAATCCATTCTCCAGCTTATGGATATTTTGTTTGGGTTCATTTTGAAGTTATTATGACTAATGCTGTTATGAACATTCATGTACTTAGAGTGGAGATACACTTAAATTTTTCGTGAGTAGATTTCTAAGAGTAGAATCATTAGATAAAAGAAGTTTATATTCAACATTTTAAAAAGGCATACACAGTAATGCCATTTTAAATCCTTATCAACAATGTAGGAGAGTTATAGAAGCTCGCCGACACTTGAAACAATATTCTATTTATTATAACCATTTTAGGGTGTGTATATGTAGTAATATCTCATTGTGATTTTAATTTATAAATTTGTATTGTCCTACTGACTACTTGTGTTGGTCATCTCATATATCATTCACAAATCATCATTTCTAAAATATCATATTCATATCTACCACTCAAAAAATCTTCTTTGACAAAGTGTCAATTCAAATATTTTGTCCATTTAAAGAAATTGTTACTTTTGTTTTTAATTGAGTTTTGAGGATTCTCTATACACTGTAAATGAGTGTCTTTTACCCAAAATATACTTTATAAATATGTCCCCTACCTATTCCTGTCTTTTAATTCCTTCTGATAACCATGCTTTTAAAAGAATACAACTTTTTAATTTTCAAGAAGATTATAGATCATGCTTTCAGTGCTGTGTCTAAGAACTCTACCAAACTGAAGGCCACAAAGATTTTTCTGTGTTTTTTCTACTAGCTTTTAGCTTGGTATGGTGTTTCAATTTTCCCATTTTTAAAAATTAAAAATAGGGGCTGGGGATTTAGCTCAGCGGCAAAGCGCCTGCCTGGCAAGCGCAAGGTCGTGAGTTCGGTTCCCCGTACCAGAGAAAAACCAAAAAAACCAAAAAATAAAAAAATAAAATAAAAATTAAAATATGTATTACTACATGTTTGTAGTATATTATGAATACTTTCATCATGGGGAGTTGGTACATGTACATAATACATCTCAACTTGCTTTTTTATAACACTCCCCCACCCCAGTCTCTTGGTTTCCTTCCAATATGATAAAGATTTTTAGTTATTTCCTGTTGTCTTATCTTTTATTTTGCTCTTTGTTTATATTTTGGGTTTCTCATGTAAGAGAAACTGCAATACTTAAGCTGTTATCTGTGCCAGCTTACAACACACAAGCCTTCCCTGGAATGGCTCCCAACTCTGCACTCTCTCCAGTGACATGGCAGGCACCTGGTCTGGCATTCCTCTCCAGCTGTTTGCTGCTGCGTTGAAGGATCCCATTAGAGCAAAACCCTGTGCTGTTCCTGCAGATTACAACTGCTGGCCAGTCCATGGCTGCTGTTTCCCCTGGGGTCCCTGAAACCTCCAGCACTTACCTTGCTTTGGCAGAGTCAGGCTCAATTCCATGTGAACCATGAGCTGGCATCTCGGGAAGAATTCTAGACTGTTTTATTCTTTTCTCTGTGTTGTGGTCTTTCTCTTAAACTTCTCTGTAGCTTTTAATTTCCCTGTTATTCTTTTCCTGATTCTTGGGAACCTCTCTCTCTTTCTTTCTCCCCCTCCTCTCCCCTCTTCTTCCTCCTCCTGTGTCCGGGTTCTTAATCTCAGAGCCTGAATTGTTGCTGCTTACCAGTCTGCCATTTCTAATATTCCCTCTACTTTTCAATCATTACAAATATTAATGGGTTTCATTTGGGCCCGTTTGTACATGGGACATACTTTGATTATTTTCAAATCTCCCAGTAGCCAGTTTTGCACTGCTCTCACTTAGTTTTGTATGTTTAGTGTGGGGCAGTCTATGCATAATATTTTTCACCATATCCTTTTTCCCTATTACCTGTCCCACACCCCTCCCTCTTGTTCTTTTACTCTTGTCTAATAATAATCTTCCTTCTACTTTCTTATTATGTTTTTTGGATTCCACATATTATGGAGAACATGTAATATTTGTCTTTCTGAGTCTGGCTTATTTCACTCAGCTTGATGATCTCCAGGTATATTCATTGCCTTATAGATGATACAATTTTATTCTTTTTTGTGCCTGAATGCTATTCCATTGTGTGTGTATATATACCACCTTTTCTTTATCCATTTATCTGTTAATAAGAATCTAGCCTGGCTGCATAGCTTGGCTATTGGGAATTATGCCACCATAAACATGGTTATAAAGGTATCTCTATAATATGCTGAATTTAATTGCTTCGGGTGTACATTAAAGAGTGAATAGCATAGCTGAATCAAATGGTATCTTCATTTTTACTTTTTGAGAAACCTCCATGCTTATTTCCATAGCAGCTGTATTACTTACATTTTTCACCAGCAGTGTAGAAGAATTTCTTTTTCCCACATCCTCACCAGTATTTATTATTTTTTGTTTTGCATTGTTTTCCTTGATGATAGCCATTCTGACTGGGGTGAGATGGACTCAGTGTAGGTCTGATTTGCATTTCCCCAAAGGCTTAAGATGTTGAGCGTTGTTCGTATTCTTATTGGCTATTCATACTTCTTTT